TAGTGACCCCCTACTCTTTAATGTTGTTCTTAGAGTTATGTCTTCTGCCTCGTAAAAAAAGAAGGAGAATATTATATTTTCAAAATAATTACTATTTTCATTACACCTGGTTACTCTGGTAAGCAGGGTCATTTTATCGTGGCAAAGCTATCTCGTAAATCCCCTCCTTTAATATTTTTATTCGCAGGATAAACATATTTTAAACACAGGATAATACGCATATAGCATTCAATATCAACAAGGTTACTTTATATTGAGTTAAACGTCATCTTTTTCATAAACCAGGCTAAGGAGCCAAGAAATAAAGAAAAGCCTTTAAAAAAAGGGTTGGCCCATAGATACTGCTTGATTCTAGAACCGAAAGATTCAAGGGATGCACTATTAGGAAAAATTATCTTATTCAAAGGAAAATTTGGAATTATGCCACTGATAATATTTTGCTAGTTAAAATGATAATCGGGTGAACTAAGTCTCGTCAGTCGCTTTTGTGATTGCGGTACATTGTTCTGATCTACGGTTGCAGTCAACCAATTTTTTTTCCTTTCAAACTCGCTTACGGTGAATGGCGTCGTTACAATCCATTAAGCTCCACGAGAATAGTTTTATCAAAAAGTTGCACACTTATATCCTAAATCCACGGCAATTAACTATCTTAAGTTTATTTCATTTTTATTCAACCGTATTTTATATTGAATGAATTTGCGTGTTTCCTATTTAGTAAAAGCAAACGAGAATTTTCTTTCAACTCACAGTATTCATATCAACCATCACATATTTGAAAAATTTCTCAAAATGATGTCAAACGAGCTGAGTTCTTGCTATGGACACCTTTCCTTTCACAGATCAAAACCTTTTTTTTTTACTACAGTAATTAGTGAGAATTTACATAAAGATCAAACAACTAATCTTCGCTGATAAGGGCCTAAATTCTCCATACCAGATCACTGTAAAAGATAACGATGTTTTAAGGAGATATAAGAAGTTCATCGTAGTCGATCAGTTAGCATATCATAATCCATAAACTATAAATTCTCATTGTGCATTGTAAACACTATTCATAACACAAGCCCTTGAACATCCTGAATTTTCCTGTTGTGGGACAAAATAAACAGAGTTGGAAAGTGTTCCTTCTATGCTGACAGATTCGTCTACCATTTCATATCGGAAGGCGCTGAGAGTGAAAATGTTTCGCTTATTCTTTGTGTTGGCTCTTGCCTTTTTGTTGAGTTCCTTCGCAAAATCACAGAACAAATCTGCAAATCAGGTAACCAAATTGGTAACTAGGCTTGAAGTAATTATATTCGAATCGGAATTCGAGTGAAAGTGAGAAGGTTTGTGTTTTGTTCGTGCTTGTGATTTCCCAAACAACCCCTTGATTTCATAATTTATGTGTACACTGCTCGTTTTTACTTTCAAACCTTCAACAGAGTCATGGAACAGCGACAAAATCAAACTGCTGCGTTTCGCAAGTTGGATACTGTAAAGATGGTGGGTAAAACTTCAAACAAAAATCCCACCTTGTTCTGCACATTTATAATTACCTTAGAATAATAATAATAATAATAATAATAATACTTGTAACACGCATTTACTTATTTACATCTGCTCATATGGGCGAGAAAGAAAGAAATTCGAGTTTCTTCATTGATGTTTGGTTTCTGTTAATTTCTGGACAGGAAAAGACGGAAAAGATGGACAAAACGGTGGGTGTGCAAAAGTTACTTTATGGTTCATTCATCAAGTTATTGACTTAAAAACGAACAACTTTTCATCATAAAAATAAACTTTTTACTTACCTTTCTAACAAAAGAAAATTGATTTCTTTCTATGCAGGAAAAGATGGACGCGATGGAATAAACGGTGATGTAGTTATTTATTCAAAGTGAATTTTTGATTTAGATGGAAAATTTTTTAACGCGAATTCCTTCATAAACACAAGTGGTAGGGACGGCTTATTATGGATTTGCTGTGGAGGGGGGGAGGGTTGGTGGAGGACTTTAGGAAGATCACATGTTTTTAAGGGGGGACTGATGGGGGATCAGTCGTCGACAACAGAATATCAAGGGGGGACTGTAGCAAAATGACTGTCAATTAGCTGCCAAGGGGGGGGTAGGGGTGGGGAATCATAAGAATATTACAGAGCCTTTGGGGAGGACCAGGTAAATTTTTGCGAGACGCTAACCAAAATTCTCTGGCTGACCCGTTGATTGGTCCTTTATGGGAATTTGGGGAGAGAGAAAAACGAAAACCTAGTAATATGATGATTACTTGTGTCAAGTTAACATTACAACGAGTTTGGATGACTGAAAATTACTATGAATAATACATTTTTTGGGAAACGAAGGTGTACCGTGACTTTGAACTTTTGTTGCTGTTTTCGTTTATCTGAGTTTCACAATTTGTACTGATCGCCAACATTTTCAACATAGGACGAGATGGACGCGATGGGACAGTTAGAGCAAAGGTTATGTATTTTTTTAAACGATAATGTAACCGTCGTTAAAAAAATGACATTGAAACGGACTTGAGAATACAAATGCATTGAACTGTATATGACGTATCTCTTCTTGTTGGTGGTGAACTTATGAGTACATCAATCAAACTGTTGTCATGGTTACCGGTAGACTACTTCCATTCCTTTTAACTCATCCAGGGAGAGAAAGGTGAACCAGGCATGCATGGTGCGAATGGAAATGCCGGCATCAAGGTTGGTAAAAAATTAAGTGGTTTTCTGGCTAATTTTTCTTTGTCTTTGATCTGATTGACACTTTAACTGTTACCAATTATTTGGTTGGAATATTTAAATCGTGATAACTGCAGGTATCCCAGCCTAAAAAGATGCAGTTATAGAATTAGGTTTTGGCAAAGGAGAACATTTCATTATTCCGAACTGTAAGAGTTCTCTTGCTTCTTATTTTACCCTATTGGAGAATTATCTGACTGTCAATGAATACAATGAGGTATGTTGCGCTCATACGTTAAATTTTGATTTCTTCAGGGGGATGGGGGTGAGCCAGGAATAAAGGGAAAGAATGGTAATTGTAGTTCCGAAGTTAGTTCTATGAATCATTCGGTTCAACTAAAAACTGACAGACAAATGCGATAATAGTAGGACTAGGAACCCCTGATAGGACTTGGTAGGGATTGGTCATTATTAAGTGGGGGAATCTTCTAAAGAAAGTTTCATGAGGTTTGTATGAAAAATTCTTTCGTCGAACACAGCTTAAACTAACTTGAAAACCAGTAACTTCTCAAAGTTATTTCATGATGGATAGCGAAAAAGTTCGTGCTATACAACCTTTTTTTATAAGTTTGCTTTTTCATCGAGGGCGAGAAAGGATCTGTTGGACAGAAAGGATCACTAGGACTAAAAGGACAGAAAGGAATGCCGGGAACATGTGATGACCTGGTACGGAAAGATATAATGGATAGAAATCATCACTTAAAAGTGCAACAGTCCTTGTGTACTTCTAAAGCAATGAAATATTACAACAAGTAATTTGCTACTTTTTTTTTATAATTTTTTGGCAGTTATTGTGTGAAGTTCTTTGACATGCACAAGCACGAAACGATAATGATAACGAGATTTCTAATGATTCTTTGCAGAGCTCCTCGTCATCCTCCGGGAAAAGAGGGTGTTGTAAAGTCGGTAGGAGTCATTTATTACTTGTTTTTGTGGCTTATGTCACCTACAGGAGGCGAGGCTTCTTATGTCGTCAAAATGAATGAGTGAGTGAGTGAGTGTTGGTTACAATAGAATTCCGATCTTGATCCAGTTTTTACTCGATGTTAACTGTGCTACTCACTCTTTGTTCTGAAGTACTAAAGAAGACGAGAAACATCTAACAATAATTTCACGATGGCGCGTAAAAATACCAAAGAAAACATACAGGAAAACTTTTTTCTTTAAACGGGGAGTATCTTACCGTTTGAATCAGCGAATTATGCCCAGTAGATCGGAATATACCTTTTTTTCAGTCCTTGCCATCACGCTACAAAAGATGATAAACACCTCAAAATAATTCACAGTAGCCTTACCAGATAAGTTTTATCTGCACATCGTGGAAACTATCGAGAAAAATTTTATGATGAAAAAATTTCTCACCATTGAGAGGACTTAGATTTAATTTCTTTTATAAAATAGCACTACAACAATAGCAGCAAAATCAAAGACGGCAACATCGAGTCGTATACATCAGACACGAGCTATTTTTTTTATTCGTAGGACACTAGTTTTGTTTAATTAATTTTTTTATATTGCCTCTGCTTAAATTTAAGCTTTCAGGGAATTCTTGTTATAATTAACAAAAAGTGCCAAAAACGCTTTCCAAAACGTAAGAACAATCAAATGAAAGCTGAAATCGCGGACAAGAAATAAAATTGCCACAAGTCTCGAGTGGACATATACTTTGTAAGTGGTTTTCGTTCCAATGTAAGATTTTCATCAAACTTCTGAGAGAAAATCTTGTTTGATACTCCAGTTTTATGGAGTACAATAGAGGATAGATTTTTTGACAAATTAGACGCCCGTTGTGTGTCAGTTATGTTAAGATTGACCATTCCCTCCATTCGCAGAAATGAACTGATTAAGTTCCTAAGTGAAGCAAAAAACAAAAGAACAAAACAAATAAAAAGAAACCAGTTGAGTCAAGTTGTTCCATTGTCCATAAAACTTACATATTTTCATATGCTGATTGCAATACAGTGATTGAGAAGTAGGGTTTGTTTTCGAGTTACAGGAAAATAAAGTGAAAAAAAGGACGTTGTTTGAGAGGATGGAGTGTTGCTTTGGTAACATTATATTTTATAGAAAGAATTGTTGAATAACAGTTTCGCATGTCGTATGGAAATTTCGAAAAGAGCAAACTGTTAAAGCTTCGGTACGTTAAAGTACGGTGATTAAAAATAACGAAACTCTTTTGAACCACCTTTAATAGGCTAATAACCAGAAACAAAGGATGAGAGGTAAACTCTGTCAACTCTGTTTTGTTTTTATCAAAGAATGTTCCACTGGTTTCCACTTCTTCGAGAAAGTTCAAGACTTGCCAACCAGGGGAACTAACGCTGTTCAACATTTCACAATTAATGGAAGTCTGTTCCTCACCTTTGCGAACTATCATGGAGATATTCACAAATACAAGACAAGCTCCATGGTCTACAAGATGGATGAACCGACTGAAAAGTTCACATTGTACCAGACCCTGCAAACTAGAGGTGCATATGGCGTTGAGTACTTTTCTATCGCTGATAAACATTTCCTTGCTGTGGCTCATTATTATGATGGTACGTACCAAGTTGACTCTGTAGTATTCCAGTGGAATGGACAGCGGTTTGTGGTATTTCAGAAATTACCAACAAAAGGAGCTGCACACTTCAAGTTCTTCACATTAAATAGCGAAAAATATCTCACAGTGGCAAACTATTACGATGGAAGTACCCGCTCAATAAAATCAGTCATCTACAAATGGAATGGCCTCAAGTTCAACAAGTTCCAGGAGATAGCAACTGAAGGTGCCATGGGATGTACTGCATTTATAATAAACAATGTCACTTACATCGCTTTCGCCAACTATTACAACTCTCAACAGAAGAATTCTGTTCAGTCCATTGTCTTCAAATGGTCAGGAAGACACTTTGCCAAACTACAGTCTCTTCAAACTTATGGCGCATATGACGTGAAGTCCGTAAATATCAATGGTCACACATTCCTCACTTTTGCCTGCCACTACTCTGGAAGTTCCCACAACACTGCCTCGTTTATTTTTAAATGGGATGGTACCAAGTTCGTTCTTTTCCAATCCATTCCTACTCGTGGAGCCCTTGCATTGTATCCATTCGCGATCAGCGGTCATACCTACTTAGGCATGGCCAATCACTACGACAGCAGCGTGAAACATAACACTCAGTCAGTTGTGTACCAGGCCTCTGGAGCACAGTTTATTAAGTATCAAGAGATTTCCACCCATGGAGCGATTGATATGACATCCTTTGAGTACAAAGGTCACTCCTATCTGGCAGTGGCAAATCACTACAATCAGAAATACAACATAAACAGCTCTTTGTACAAGTGGGTGTAGAAATAGGGGCACAAAACTAAAAGCGTAATGACCAAGGGTCTTAGCTGCTTATGCATTGGTGTAGTGATAGTATTTGCTCAATAATCGAAGAACAAGGTTTAGATTTAGGGATTTTTTGTGAAAATTGACTCTTTGATAAATGAGTGTTTATCAGCCTCTTTAAAGTGAAAGTAGCAATAAAGCTGTGCATTGAACAAGACACTAACGTCTGGTTTAATTCCAATTTTGTTTGAGTAAATGATATCCATTTTTATTGATAAAAGTTGATCCCCAGAAAAGTAATATCAGACACGTTCAATATTCTGAAATGGACTTTAATACCTTTAGGTCATCTGTTGTGTGTGTGTCGTCACATAAGTAACACCTCCCTTCCCCCACCCCCTAATGAATTATTTACAGAGACAAAGAGACCAGGGGTGATATTTCCATTTAATTCAGATTTTTTTGGATCCAAGAATGTTGAAAATGGCTAGAACTATAATTCTAAGTAAGAAAATACTTCGAAATTTAAAAGTTCAGGCAGCTCATAACATTCTTTGCTATCAACGCTCTGTTGACTTTGAAAAGAGCATAAATGTAATATAATAATTGTTGTATAGTTTATGATCTCCTCCTCAACAAGGGTTGCTGCTTACATCACTTGTCAGAAACATTCTTTCTTTTTGCTTTTAACAATCATAGAAATAAGCTCGAAGACACAACTTTTTAGATTAAGCAAAGCGAGGAAGGAGGCGAAGTCCAGAGTAAAGAGTTAGGGAGTTTTGTGAAAATTTTCAAAATAGCTTACCTTTTCGCAAGCAAATATTGAGAAAAGAATATAAAAAAGAAAATTGTTTGCAAAGCTTGTTTTTGAAGCTATGTGAGTTTACAAAATCGAATTTTTTTTAAATAAAAAAAGTGCAACTGACTACAGATGAACTGTTGAATACCTCAAGGAGCACGCACAGGTTTCTTTAATTTTCCATTCTTGATGGCTCTGAGCTTTCGACATGATCGAACTTTTCTTTCTGTTTCTTCAATACAGTGTAAAAATGCCCAATTATTTCCGCCTCAACAAATTGTGATCATTTTTATGACATTAGGTTACCATTATAACACCACAGCCTTGAAATAGCCACAAAACATCCGCTTTATCGCATTTAAGGCTTGAAATTTGTGCTAACAAGTTTACCATTCTCTTTAAGGGAGACGTCTGCACACATAAACAAACCCACGAATCTCTAATCAAAATAAGTCGAAGTTACTATCATCTGATTTTCTGAATTTCCTGTTCCTACTAAGTCATCCATCTTTTACAATAAAAAGAGTGCTTAACTATATATTATGGTATCATGGTACAAGACCGACCGAAGACTTTTACCAGGTTATCAAAGCCATGTGAACAATTGGTATTAAAAAATAATTCAAATAGTACGCGCGCTCTGATTGGCCATAAAACCATTTTACGTGAGCGTATGTAAACACGGTTTTCGTTCCTCTTTCATTAGTTATTTTATAAAAGAAATGTAAAATGGTTTCCGTGTTTACATAGCCTAATCGAAACACTTGGGAGGTTGGGAGAACACGAGATAAGTTTCCATTTTACATTTCTTCATTATTGATCACTATTGAGATGAAGTACTAGAAATTGAAATATCTAAAGCGATGTAGAGTTTTTATTTACAAGAAGATTCCACACTTCTTAACAGTACCAGGACCAGGCAAGTACCGAGCATAAGGGAGCCCCTACTCCCCCCCTTCCCGCCTTTCACTCCCCCTAAGCATGTGGATTCAGAGCACTGTAGGAATCACCTTACCCCTCAAAGACTAGAAAATTACCGACTTATTAAGAAAGGAGCCTCGTACCCTCAGCTGGAAAGCTTAACCCGACTATGGTAACCAGTCGTTATAAGCAAATTACGAAAACAAAGCCCTCTCTAGTGAACCAAAAAAATGCATTTAAATGTAAGAGATGTGATGCATATTATGTAGGCGATACAATCTATTTACTATGTAACGGGGAGCATAAATACTCTACAGAACAGAAGCAGGCCATCTCACGTAGCTGGTGGCTTTTCTTGTGTGCTGATGCGACGAGGCTTGAGACGGTGGCTGGTTGTCTGTTCACAAGATGAAGAATTCCCATTAAATTGTTTCTTCTACAGAATGCTTTCCTTGAAATTAGCGTAAGTTGACTATGGCTATAACGAGATGGAAATGAGGACGGTGGAAAAAAACCACACAAAAAGGTTTTTTCGTCACCAAATATGTGTCGAGAGGGGCGTAAGAGTTTGCCTAAGAAAGATGTAGAGCAAGTCATGAAGTATTATTTTATCAAGCGTTACGGTAAACGGAAAAATGTTTGAGCCATCCTTTCCAAGGGCTTCGGCAATAGTATTAGTGTTTTTATGATCTAAGTTCTGGCGAGGAAGGAAATGAATTCAAGGAAGGTTTCTGGTCGCCTCCCGGTTGATAAGTAATCGAATGATAGGGTACTTGACCGGCGGCGAGAAGGGACACACTTTAAGTCATTGATTGACACCGAAAAACTGACGCGATTATCCCTCGAGGAATAAGGAAGCGCTTTACTAAAACTGAGAGATTTCTTGGGCATTAAATTCTTCTCCGCGCGGTTGCTACCGTCCTAGGTTAGGGACTACACTCTGGCGAAGAAAGAGAAGATGGCAAAAGCCATATTTGCATATGATGCAATGGCGGCCGAACGTGTTTTGGGAAGCTCTCTAAAACTTTTAGCTTTCCTGTTCACAGTTGTATTTATAATTCAGGATAATGTCATCACATTTAGGAAACAAGACCCTACCGTCCCACAGACGGTTTCAACATCACTCGAGGTGCTGAGGTTGCCTCCCACTCAACTCTTCGACCGAATGGCAGGTTTAAATCTCGCGCTCGGCGCTTTCTGGCGCTCAGAGTGCAATACCAAAGGGACAAGCAGCTTTAACTTGCAGAGAAATTTGATAGTATATGGGGATATATCGTCCAATCCTAGTCCTAAAAGGACGAAGATTTCGCCAAAATCACCAATGCGGTGAGTCTCAGAAGGTTGCGAAGAACAACCAAAATGTTATCTTGTGTGCCTACTGTAACAACTGGTCGCACTCTTAGTGTCTTCAGATGTCTCGTCTTATTTTTCAATACTAATTAGACAGGCCCGACATTGAGTGGACTTGTCCCACTTGTGCTCTGCCGTGATTCTTTCTTTGCGGGGTCAAATGTATCGTAGTGGTCACAATCAAGAAGAGGTCACATCTAAGCTAAGTGCAAGTGCGGATCAGGGAACTAGGTGGTACAAGTCCAATTTACTGGCAGGGAACCTTAAGAAATACCAGACGTTGAACATCGGCTACCGAACGGAAACAACTAGTTCTGAAAGAGCAAGTGGAGGGATCCGCATAAATAATGAGGAAATTAAGACCGCGGAAACTCTCAAACTTTTAGGGGTAACAATAAATTCCAGATTAAATTTTTCTTAACATGTAAACTCAACGTGCAAGAAGACCAGTCAAAGAATTGCTGTCCTCATGCGACTAAGAAATCTAATCCTTATCAAGGCCAAACTCCAACTGAACAAAGCAGCTGTGTTACCAGTCATCTTACATACTGCCATCTAGTGTGGCCCTTTTTTTAGAGCTAGTGATTCGCTTGAACGGCAACAAGAAAGAGGCCTGAGAGTGGTGTACAATGAAAAGCAAGCTAGTTATCTTCAATTATTGGAAAGGGCTCAGCTGCCAAATTTGATGAACAGACGTTTGCAGGACATTAGTATTCTTATGTATAAAGTTAAATATATAAACTAAGTAATATTTGCAATCTTTTTAAAGAACATATATAGTAAAGTATAATTAGAGGCAATCTGATTTCTCCACTCCTAGGTATAACTCTGTAACTTATGGTGGGCACTCACTGCTACACTTGGGACCTAAATTATGGGCGAAGCTGTCATCAGATGACAGATCAGCCAAAACACTTAATGAGTTTAAAAGGCGCATTCGTGGCTAAGATCTTGCTGAGTTAATAGAAACCGGCTGCAAGGGTTGTATCCTCTGCTCTGCTTTCCATTTATCTTTACTCTCTGCCATCGATATCCTGTAACCACCTCCTTGATTTTTTTTTATTGTAAAGTGAATGAACTCTGACGAAGGGCTAACACTCGAAACGTCAGCTTTTTTACTCTTCAGGGTGGCATATACGTTTTCAACTCAGTTGTTAAAACTAAATTACCTGCTACACTGCCCCACCGACGCAGCACCACAGTTTCTTTAGAAACTTACCCCATTTATCTTAGAAAGAGAGTCGATTTGAGTGCGTATTGAACACTCTCCCAGCTGTGTTTAAAAGTTATCACTAATTATAAACAAGCCCCAAGACTGTGCGACCACAACAAGCATGGCTTACCTTGTTTTTTACTCAGCCTTAGCACGTGTCACTTAATGGTGCTCGTTGCACCCGCTTTCTGGTTTCCTCGTACTTCTTCCGTTCATTTTCTTAACAAATGCAAATCTAGGCAGACGTTTTTAAACGATAACAAACATTTACTTCAGTGTCAAGTGTATTTAGGTACGAGCTATTTGGGGGCACTATATATAGCCGACATAAAATTTAGCCGACAATAAAACATTGAAAAATTAATTGAGAGCCTTATATCGACAGCATAGGGATTATTCTAACCTCACATTTACAATCTACAATCTATAATCTGAATCCAAAATCTAGAATCATTATTATGATCTAGAATGCTACTGATGTCTAGTTTTCTTATGGTGTTTTTAGAGGACTGAAGGTTAAATAATTATTTGCTTGTTTACGTAGTCTGCTCCATAGTGCAGGTCTGAGGTGTTTGAAAAATCAAGGTAAATTAAAATCTTTGTTGCGCAAATGATAACTTGAACTATTTCAAATGGTTTAAGCTATTATCAACACGTATTATCTGAAACTCTCTATCCACAGCTGCAAAGGATGTTGACCTTCAGCTTGAAGGAAGAGGAGTAACCAATCATTCGGTCAGGAAAACCTGTATTTTAAGGCTACTCGCTGCAGATATTACGGAGAACTTGACAGCCCAACTGTGTGAACACAAAACCACGGATAGTCAGCGAGTTCGGAACACCAAAGGAGGATGTCCATGACCCTCAGTCGAGTTACTCGTTTCGAAACCGGTATGAAATAATGAATGTCAAGTCGCCACTTGTTCGGCTGCAGAAATCGCCACCAGTACACAGAAGATTCATTGATCATGAACCATTCTAACATCCCCCTACTGTCTTACGCCGCTCTACTACTTTCTTGCCGGTGCAAACGTAAGACCTAGCTCTGGATGCACCTTCCAGATATTTCATGGCCATGTAAAAGTCGATACGAATTAGAATTTTCCAGTTCTGAGCCAAAATAAAAAGAGATGAACTCTCTTTCTTAAAGGAAATCGAACTGAGTGCTTATTAAACTTTCCTCTGCATTTCAAGGATTCTCTTATCAAAAATACACCCCAAGACGGCGTAACCGCAATAAGCGTGGCTTAGCTTGTTTTACCTCGATTTGGGCATATTATGGTATTCCTTACACCCGCTTTCATTCCTTTCATTCTTCCATTTTACTCTTTCAGCGAAAACAGGGAAGGCGTTTCAGGTCTATTTTGCGATCTAACTTTCATATGCCCTTCTGTCGACTAAGCCGACTTCGCACTTGTGAAAGACATACAAAGGAAGGAAAAAGACGAAAAGCTTAAGTTGTAACCACGCCCGCCCTCGAATCTAACTTGTCACTCTTACTTTTCATACAGAATACCCTGGACAGGATACCATCATGTTAATATAAGCTGTTTGGCACTATGATATTTGCGGTTTTCTTTTAAACAGACGTTTTAAAAACAAAAATGATTGATTTATTGATTGAGAAACTTACATACAACAGACATTCATACATCTTCTTCATCTCGCACGCATCAAAACGACGCAACTCACAAATTTTACTTCATATTGCAAAAAAACTATCAACTCAGGTGTTTTCAGTCTTCTGAATATCTGCCGCTGGTCTATGTAGGATAGGAAGTAAACCAAATAATGTTTACTCGTGTTATTTAAAGAATCCATCAGAGATAACACAATGTAAAATTGAATCATTTGTTACGTAAATTAGTTCCCCGCCGACAAGGTCGCCATGATTGCGTAACCTTCCTTTGTCAGAAGCATTCTGTTCAGTCCACTGTCTTCAAATGGTCAGGAGGACACTTTGTCAAACTACAGTCTCTTCAAACTTACGGGGCATTTGACGTCAAGTCTGTTAATATCAATGGTCACACATTCCTCTCTTTTGCCTGCTACTACTCTGAAAGTTCCTACAACACTGACTCGTTTATTTATAAATGGGATGGTACCAAGTTCGTTCTTTTCCAGTCTATTCTTACTCGTGGAGCCCTCGCTTGCCATCCTTTCGTGATCAGCTCTCATACCTTCTTAGGTGTGGCCAATCATTACGACAGCAGCCAGAAATACAACACACAGTCAGCCGTGTACCAGGCCGCTGGAGCAAAGTTCATCAAGTACCAAGAGATTTCCACCCGTGGAGCGTTTGATATGACATCATTTGAGTACAAAGGTCACACTTATCTAGCTGTGGCAAACCACTACAATCAGAAGTGCAACATAAACAGTGCTTTCTTCAAGTGGGTGTAGAAATAGGGACAAAAGACGAAAAGCGTAATGACCAAGAGTCTTAGCTGCTTTATGCATTGGTATAGTGATAGTATTTGATAAAAATCGAAGAAAAAGTTTCAGATTTAGGGATAGTCGAAATTGATATGTTTGATAAATGAGTGCTTATCAGCCCCCTTAAGAGTGAGATCAACAATAAAGCTGTGCATTCAACATGATACTAAAGTCTGATTTCTTTCTAATTTTGTGTGAGTAAATACCTTTCACTTTCATTGATAAAAGTTGATCCCATGAACAGTACTATCAGATACGTTCAATATTCTTAAATGGACTAAAATACCCTCAGCTCATCTGTTCTGTGTGTGTTTTATCACAGAATTCACATCTCCTCCCATCCCCACCCCCTAATGAGTTCTTTACAGAGACGAAGAGATCAGGGGTGATATTTTTATTTAATTCTGATTTATTTTGGCTCCAAGAATGTTGATAATGGTTGGTACTATAATTCTAAGTAAGAAAATATCTTCGAAATTTAAAAGTTCAGACAGCTCATAACATTCTTTGTTCTCAACGCTCTGTTGACTTTGACAAGAGCATAAATGTAATATTACAATGGTTATGTAATTTATGATCTTCTCGTCAACAAGGGTTACAGCTTACATCATTTGCCAGAAACATTCTTTCTTTTTGTTTTTAACAGCCTTAGAAGTGAGTTTGGTGACACAACTTTTTAGATTGAGCAGAGTGAGGAAGAAGGCGAAGTCCAGAGTAAGGAGTGAGGAAGTTTTGGAAAATTTTTCAAAGCAGTTTACCTTTTCGAAAGCAGATATTAAAAAAGAAAATCAAATTAAAACAAGAGTGTTTGCTTGTTTTTGAAGCTATGTGAGTTTACAAAATGGAGGTTTTATATAAGAAAAAATTTCAACTGACTAAAGATGAACTGTTGAATACCTCAAGGAACACGCACAGATTTCTTTAATTTCAGAATTAAACTCATTGATGGCTCTGAGCTTTCGACATGATCGAATTTTCTGTCTGTTTCTTCAATACAATGTAAACGTGCCCAATTATTTTCGGCTCAACAAATCGTGATCATTTTCAGGACACTAGGTTACCATAACAACATTACAGCCTAGAAACAGCCACAAAACATCCGCTTTATCAGTTTAAAGGTTGGAAAATTTGTGCGAAAAAGTATCCCATTCTCTTTTAAGGAGTCACCCGCACACTAAAATAAACCCATGAATCTCCCATGAATAATTCGGAGATTCTATCGTCTGATTTTCTGAACTTCCTGTTGCTACTAATTCATTCATCTATCGTAATGGAAAGAGTGTTCAACAATATATTATATTATCTCTGTGGCTCAGTGGTAGAGCATCGGGGCGCGGAATCCGAAGGTCTGAGGTTCGATTCCTCTGGGGGACTCAGAAGTTGAAAAGACGAAAAAACATCGTTCCTTAATATATTATGTGTTGTTAACAGTTGGTATAAATGATCAATTTTGAGATGAAGTACTAGAAATTGAAATTCCTAAAAGGACAACAGGACTAGATGTGTACCGAGCATATAGAGAGACCTTGCTATCCCCCCCCTCCCCGCCTTTCACTCCCCCTAAGCATGTGGAAGGAGAGCACTGTAGAAATTACTTCACCCCTCAAAGACTAGAAAATTGCCAACTTCTTACTAAAGTAGCCTCGTACCCTTAGCTGGAAAGCTTAACCCGACTATAGTAACCAGTCGTCATAAGTAAATTACGAAAACAAAGCCCTCTATAGTGAACCAAAAAAACGAATTTAAATGTTAGAGCTGTGATGTATATTATGCAGAGGATACAACCGTGCATGGGCAACGGGGAGCATACATACTCTACATCTGAAGAAACAACAGAAGCAGGCTATCTTTCGTAGCCGATGGCTTTTCTTGTGTGCTAAAGCGACGAGGCTTCTACTAAAAAAATATGACTCTAAATGTTTAATGCTTCCTTATACATTTAAAAGGCATTGTTATGTTCTCAAGCTGCCCTGCTCTCGAGCTGAAGCAGCAAAACTCCTGTAATAGAACAATAATTTTATGTTTTGAATGCTCTTTTTTTCCATTGTAATTCATGTTTTATATTTTCCAAATTGTTTCTCCAAGTTATTCCTCCAGGAAACGAATAGATCGAGTGTAAGTTATCGATGATGATATAAACATCATTATAAATTCATAGTCAAAAGTATTTGTAATTGTGGAAAGTTCATTTCTTGTTTACTCAGTGGTTAAAAATCTCCATTCACTTTTTATTTTTTCCGTTGAAATTCAGTTTTCCGTTTTAAAAGCCTCATTCACTTATTTAGACACTTATTTTTGTCTTTTAAACAGACACTTTAAAACAAAAATGGTTGATTTATTGATTTAGAAACTTACATATAACAGACATTCATACCTCTTCTTCATCTCGCTCGCATCAAAAAGACACAACTCATAAATTTTACTTCTAATTGTGAACAAATTGTCAACTCAGCTGTTTTCAGTCTCCTGATTACCCGCCGCTGGTCTAATTTGGTATATGTAGTAAACCAAGCAATGTTTACTGGTGTTATTTTAAGTATCCATCAGAGATACACACAATGCAAAATAGAATAGTTTGTCACGCAAATTGGTTCTCCGCCAACAAAGTCGCCGTGATTGCGTAACCTTCCTTTGTCTAATAAATGTGAAGCGACGGTCAAATTTTTCAGGAAGAAACACTGAGCTCTCACTCACCGAAAAAAGGCCTGTTCTTGAGGATATAGTGAAATCAGATAGAATATATTTTCTGTGACGAAATTATGAAAGAAAATTTTAAAAAAAAGTATTTTCTGCAAAAACCAAATTTGCATGTTGATTTCACGTGTTTGATCACAACGCATTAGCCTGATCACAGACTAGTTTACTCTCAAAATAGACTACCACACTTAAGATCAGAGAAGTGCATCTCTTAAAATGATAACAAAATAGGTTTCTTGTCTGTAGATATTTGAAAACTTATTTAAAAATTGCCACAGTGTTGAAGCGGTTGATGGGTAAAAAGTATCGGGCAGTTAACAAGAGAATGGTTATTCGAGCAAAGTGGGCAATTATTTGAAAATTTTGCAATATGACCTCACTTTCGTTAGAACCTAGCGAAAAGATCGATTCTGTCATGATCCTGAAGAACAGTTTTATTAAACTGAGTGAATGAACAATTGGTAAACAATAAGCATTTTTTTATGATGGTCATCTGGACACGTCAGCATAGCGCGACACGGGAACAAGGTGTTTATTTCTACATATCACTTTCATGAATAAGTACGCCTATCGATTGCGAAACCAAATTCTTAGAATTTTAATCAAACTCTCGAAAAATTAAACAAATTGACATCGTGTTTTAAGGTCCTTCCTCTTCGGTTCGTCCACTAATGTGAAACTTAACCGATTACATGAAATGCCGATCGCCAGTCTAAGAATTTCTAAACATAAGAAAGTGAAGATATAGCTTCATCAAGAGTCAGAGTTAAAAAAAAAGGCTATCATGGAAGTAAAGTTGACCTCAATATCATTTTCTGTACAACTTAAGTAAATCATGGAACTACACTGTATTTGCCACAGAACGCGGTTGTTTTCGTTATTCTCTAATCCTAATATATTCGGCGTTTTCATTACATGTTGAATGTAGAGCGTGGTTCTTGAGGTGAAGCAAAGGCTATTTTAGTGAACTGAGTAAACGGACAGTTAACAAACAATAAGCAATTTCTATTTCTGATCATCTGGACACGTCAGCATAGCGCTACACGGGATAAACACAGCGGGGTACTTAATAGAACAGTGTGTGTGAGCCGTTTGCTCAACTTGATCAAATTTCCAACGGACCAAGGTAATTACTTTCATTTGTCAACTTTATTAAGAAGTAACCCTTTCAGCGATAAGTCATAATTTTTCCTTAGTGACCCCCTACTCTTTAATGTTGTTCTTAGAGTTATGTCTTCTGCCTCGTAAAAAAAGAAGGAGAATATTATATTTTCAAAATAATTGCTATTTTCATTACACCTGGTTACTCTGGTAAGCAGGGTCATTTTATCGTGGCAAAGCTATCTCGTAAATCCCCTCCTTTAATATTTTTATTCGAAGGATAAACATATTTTAAACACAGGATAAGACGCATATAGCATTCAATATCAACAAAGTTACTTTATATTGAGTTACACGTCATATTTTTCATAAACCAGGCTAAGGAGCCAAGAAATAAAGAAAAGCCTTTAAAAAAAGGGTTGGTCCATAGATACTGCTTGATTCTAGAACCGAAAGATTCAAGGGATGCACTATTAGGAAAAATTATCTTATTCAAAGGAAACTTTGGAATTATGCCACTGATAATATTTTGCTAGTTAAAATGATAATTGGGTGAACTAAGTCTCGTCAGTCGCTTTTGTGATTGCGTACATTGTTCTGATCTACGGTTGCAGTCAACCGATTTTTTTCCTTTCCAACTCGCTTACGGTGAATGGCGTCGTTACAATCCCATTAAGCTCCACGAGAATAGTTTTATCAAAAAATTGCACACTTATATCCTAAATCCACGGCAATTAACTATCTTAAGTTTATTTCATTTTTATTCAACCGTATTTTATATTGAATGAATTTGCGTGTTTCTTACTTAGTAAAAGCAAACGAGAATTTTCTTTCAACTCACAGTATTCATATCAACCATCACATATTTGAAAAATTTCTCAAAATGATGTCAAACGAGCTGAGTTCTTGCTATGGACACCTTTCCTTTCACAGATCAAAACCTTTTTTTTTTACTACAGTAATTAGTGAGAATTTACATAAAGATCAAACAACTAATCTTCGCTGATAAGGGCCTAGATTCTCCATACCAGATCACCGTACAAGATAACGATGTTTTAAGGAGAGATAAGAAGTTCATCGTAGTCGGTCAGTTAGCATATCATAATCCATAAACTACAAATTCTCATTGTGCATTGTAAACACTATTCATAACACAAGCCCTTGAACATCCTGAATTTTCCGGTTGTGGGACAAAATAAACAGAGTTGGAAAGTGTTCCTTCTATGCTGACAGATTCGTCTACCATTTCATATCGGAAGGCGCTGAGAGTGAAAATGTTTCGCTTATTCTTTGTGTTGGCTCTTGCCTTTTTGTTGAGTTCCTTCGCAAAATCACAGAACAAATCTGCAAATCAGGTAACCAAATTGGTAACTAGGCTTGAAGTAATTATATTCGAATCGGAATTCGAGTGAAAGTGAGAAGGTTTGTGTTTTGTTCGTGCTTGTGATTTCCCAAACAACCCCTTGATTTCATAATTTATGTGTACACTGCTCGTTTTTACTTTCAAACCTTCAACAGAGTCATGGAACAGCGACAAAATCAAACTGCTGCGTTTCACAAGTTGGATACTGTAAAGATGGTGGGTAAAACTTCAAACAAAAATCCCACCTTGTTCAGCACATTTATAATTACCTTAGAATAATAATAATAATAATAATAAAAATACTTGTAACACGCATTTACTTATTTACATCTGCTCATATGGGCGAGAAAGAAAGAAATTCGAGTTTCTTCATTGATGTTTGGTTTCTGTTAATTTCTGGACAGGAAAAGACGGAAAAGATGGACAAAACGGTGGGTGTGCAAAAGTTACTTTATGGTTCATTCATCAAGTTATTGACCTAAAAACGAACAACTTTTCATCATAAAAATAAACTGTTTACTTACCTTTCTAACAAAAGAAAATTGATTTCTTTCTATGCAGGAAAAGATGGACGCGATGGAATAAACGGTGATGTAGTTATTTATTCAAAGTAAATTTTTGATTTAGATGAAAAATTTTTTAACGTGAATTCCTTCATAAACACAAGTGGTAGGGACGGCTTATTATGGATTTGCTGTGGAGGGGGGGGGGAGGGTTGGTGGAGGACTTTAGGAAGATCACATGTTTTTAAGGGGGTACTGATGGGGGATCAGTCGTCGACAACAGAATATCAAGGGGGGAATATAGCAAAATGACTGTCAATTAGCTGCCAAGGGGGGGTAGGGGTGGGGAATCATAAGAATATTACAGAGCCTTTGGGGAGGACCAGGTAAATTTTTGCAAGACGCTACCAAAATCCTCGGGCTGACCCGCTGATTGGTCCTTTATGGGAATTTGGGGAGAGAGAAAAACGAAAACCTAGTAATATGATGATTACTTGTGTCAAGTTAACATTACAACGAGTTTGGATGACTGAAAATTACTATGAATAATACATTTTTTGGGAAACGAAGGTGTACCGTGACTTTGTACTTTTGTTGCTGTTTTCGTTTATCTGTGTTTCCCAATTTGTACTGATCGCCAACATTTTCAACATAGGACGAGATGGACGCGATGGGACAGTTAGAGCAAAGGTTATGTACTTTTAAAACGATAATGTAACCGTCGTTAAAAAAATGACATTGAAACTGAACTGTATATGACGTATCTCTTCTTGTTAGTGGTGAACTTATGAGTACATCAATCAAACTGTTGTCATGGTTACCGGTAGATTACTTCCATTCCTTTTAACTCATCCAGGGAAAGAAAGGTGAACCAGGCATGCATGGTGTGAATGGAAATGCCGGCATCAAGGTTGGTAAAAAATTAAGTAGTTTTCTGGCTAATTTTTCTTTGGCTTTGATCTGATTGACACTTTAACTGTTACCAATTATTTGGTTGGAATATTTAAATCGTGATTACTGCAGGTATCCCAGCCTAAAAAGATGCAGTTATAGAATTAGGTTTTGGGAAAGGAGAACATTTTATTACTCCGAACTGTAAGAGTTCTCTTGCTTCTTATTTTACCCTATTGGAGAATTATCTGACTGTTAATGAATACAATGAGGTATGTTGCGCTCATACGTTAAATTTTGATTTCTTCAGGGGGATGGGGGTGAGCCAGGAATAAAGGGAAAGAATGGTAGTTGTAGTTCCGAAGTTAGTTCTATGAATCATTCGGTTCAACTAAAAACTGACAGACAAATGCGATAATAGTAGGACTAGGAACCCCTGGTAGGACCTGGTAGGGATTGATCATTATTAAGTTGGGGGGGGGGGTCTTCTAAAGAAAGTTTCATGAGGTTTGTATGAAAAATTCTTTCGTCGAACACAGCTTAAAGATAAACTTGAAAACCAGTAACTTCTCAAAGTTATTTCATGATGGATAGCGAAAAGGTTCGTGCTATACAACCTTTTTTTATAAGTTTGCTTTTTCATCGAGGGCGAGAAAGGATCTGTTGGACAGAAAGGATCACTAGGACTAAAAGGACAGAAAGGAATGCCGGGAACATGTGATGACCTGGTACGGAAAGATATAATGGATAGAAATCATCATTTAAAAGTGCAACAGTCCTTGTGTACTTCTAAAGCAATGAAATATTACAACAAGTACAAGTATTTGCTACTTTTTTTTTATTATTATTTTATGGCAGTTATTGTGTGAAGTTCTTTGACATGCACAAGCACAAAACGATAATGATAACGAGATTTCTAATGATTCTTTCCAGAGCTCCTCGTCATCCTCCGAGAAAAGAGGGTGTTGTAAAGTCGGTAGGAGTCATTTTTACTTGTTTTTTTGGCTTATGTCTCCTACAGGAGGCGAGGCTACTTATGTCGTCAAAATGAGTGAGTGAGTGAGTGTGTGATGGTTACAATAGAATTCCGATCTTGATCCAATTTTTACTCGATGTTAACTGTGCTACTCACTCTTTGTTCTGAAGTACTAAAGAAGACGAGAAACATCTTACAATAATTTCACGATGGCGCGTAAAAATACCAAAGTTTTTCCTATATCACATAAGGTGATCGGCGCAACATGAAAACATACAGGAAAACTTTTTTGTTTAAACGGGGAGTATCTTACCGTTTGAATCAGCGAATTATGCCCAGTAGATCGGAATATACCTTTTTTTCAGTCCTTGCCGTCACGCTACAAAAGATGATAAACACCTCAAAATAATTCACAGTAGCCTTATCGAGAAAAAGTTTATGATGAAAAAATTTCTCACCATTGAGAGGACTTAGATTTAATTTCTTTTATAAAATAGCACTACAACAATAGCAGCAAAATCAAAGACGGCAACATCGAGCCGTATACATCAGACACGAGCTATTTTTTTTATTCGTAGGACACTAGTTTTGTTTAATTAATTTTTTTTATATTGCCTCTGCTTAAATTTACGCTTTCAGGGAATTCTTGTTATAATTAACAAAAAGTGCCAAAAACGCCTTCCAAAACGTAAGAACAATCAAATGAAAGCTGAAATCGCGGACAATAAATAAAATTGCCATAAGTCTCGAGTGGACATATACTTTGTAAGTGGTTTTCGTTCCAATGTAAGATTTTCATCAAACTTCTGAGGGAAAATCTTGTTTGATACTCCAGTTTTATGGAGTACAATAGAGGATAAATTTTTTGACAAATTAGACGCCCGTTGTGTGTCAGTTATGTTAAGATTGACCATTCCCTACATTCGCAGAAATGAACTTATTAAGTTCCTCAGTGAAGCAAAAAACAAAAGAACAAAACAAATAAAAAGAAACCAGTTGAGTCAAGTTTTTCCATTGTCCATATAACTTACATATTTTTATATGCTGATTGCAATACAGTGATTGAGAAGTAGGGTTTGTTTTCGAGTTACAGGAAAATAAAGTGAAAAAAAGGACGTTGTTTGAGAGGATGGAGTGTTGCTTTGGTAACATTATATTTTATAGAAAGAATTGTTGAATAACAGTTTCGCATGTCGTATGGAAATTTCGAAAAGAGCAAACTGTTAAAGCTTCGGTACGTTAAAGGGAACGAAGGACGAGAGGTAAACTCTGTCAACTCTGTTTTTTTTATCAAAGAATGTTCCACTGGTTTCCACTTCTTCGAGAAAGTTCAAGACTTGCCAACCAGAGGAGCTACAGCTGTTCAACATTTCACCATTAACGGAAGTCTGTTCCTCACCTTTGGGAACTATCGTGGAGATATTCACAAATACAAGACAAGCTCCGCGGTTTACAAGATGGATGAACCGACTAAAAAATTCACATTTTACCAGACCCTGCAAACTAGAGGTGCATATGGCGTTGAGTACTTTTCTATCGCTGATAAACATTTCCTTGCTGTGGCTCATTATTGGGATGTTACGTACCAAATTGACTCTGTAGTATTCCAGTGGAATGGACAGCGGTTTGTGGTATTTCAGAAATTACCAACAAAAGGAGCTGCACGCTTCAAGTTCTTCACATTAAATAGCGAAAAATATCTCACAGTGGCAAACTATTACGATGGAAGTACCCGCTCAATAAAATCAGTCATCTACAAATGGAATGGCGTCAAGTCCAACAAGTTTCAGGAGATAGCAACTGAAGGTGCCTTGGGATGTACAGCATTTATAATAAACAATGTCACTTACATCGCTTTCGCCAACCATTACAACTCTCAACAGAAGTATTCTGTTCAGTCCACTGTCTTCAAATGGTCAGGAGGACACTTTGTCAAACTACAGTCTCTTCAAACTTACGGGGCATTTGACGTCAAGTCTGTTAATATCAATGGTCACACATTCCTCTCTTTTGCCTGCTACTACACTGGAAGTTCCCACAACACTGACTCGTTTATTTATAAATGGGATGGTACCAAGTTCGTTCTTTTCCAGTCTATTCCTACTCGTGGAGCTCTCGTTTGCCATCTTTTCGTGATCAGCTCTCATACCTTCTTAGGCGTGGCCAATCATTACGACAGCAGCCAGAAACACAACACACAGTCAGCTGTGTACCAGGCCGCTGGAGCAAAGTTCATCGAGTACCAAGAGATTTCCACTCATGGAGCTCGTGATATGACATCATTTGAGTACAAAGGTCACACTTATCTGGCAGTGGCAAACCACTACGATCAGAAGTACAACATAAACAGCGCTTTGTACTAGTGGGTGTAGAAATAGGGACAAAAGACGAAAAGCGTAATGACCAACAGTCTTAGCTGCTTTATGCATTGGTAAAGTGATAGTATTTGCTCAAAAATCGAAGAAAAAGTTTCAGATTTAGGGATAGTCAAAATTGATATCTTTGATAAATGAGTGTTTATCAGCCCCTTTAAGAGTGAAATCAACAATAAAGCTGTGCATTGAACATGATACTAAAGTCTGGTTTCTTTCTAATTTTGTGTGAGTAAATACCTTTCACTTTTATTTATAAAAAGTTGATCCCAAGAACAGTACTATCAGATACGTTCAATATTCTTAAATGGACTAAAATACCCTCAACTCATCTGTCCTGTGAGTGTTTTGTCACAGAAATCACATCTCCTCCCACCCTCACACCCTGATGAATTCTTTACACAGACGAAGAGATCAGGGGTGATATTTCCATTTAATTCTGATTTCTTTTGGATCCAAGAATGTTGATGATGGTTGGTACCATAATTCTAAGTAAGAAAATATCTTCGAAATTTAAAAGTTCAGACAGCTCATAACATTCTTTGCTCTCAACGCTCTGTTGACTTTGACAAGAGCATAAATGTAATATTACAATTCTTATATAATTTATGGTCTTCTCGTCAACAAGGTTACTGCTTATATCATTTGCTGGAAACATTCTTTCTTTTTGTTTTTAACAGCCTTGGAAGTGAGCTTGGTGACACAACTTTTTACATTTTTTGTGATCATTTTCATGACAATAGGTTACCATAACAACATCACGCTTTGAAATGCCACAAAACATCCGCTTTATCAGTTTAAAGGCTGGAAAATTTGTGCGTACAAATATCCCATTCTCTTTTAAGGAGACACCCGCACACCTAAACAATCCCACGAATCTCTAATCAAAATGAGTCGGAGATCCTATCGTCTGATTTTCTGAATTTCCTGTTGCTGCAAATTCATTTACCTTTTACAATACAAAAAAGTGTTGAACATTATATTATGCGATGTTAACAATTGGTATAAATGATCACTTTTGAGATGAAGTACTAGAAAATTGAAATATCTAAAAGAATGTAGTGTTATTACTTTCAACAGATTTCACGCTTCTTAATAGTACCAGGACCAGGTGTGTACCAAGCATATAGAGAGCCCTTTCTCCCCCCTTCCTCCCCTCCTTTCACTCCCCTGAGCATGTGGATGGAGAGCACTGTAGGAATCACCTCACTCCTCAAAGACCAGAAAATTGCCGACTTCTTGCGAAAGGAGCCTCATGCCCTCAGCTGGAAAGTTTTACCCGACTATAGTAACCGGTCCTCATAGACAATTACACCTCAGAATGTTTACAAATTACGAAAAAAAAAGCCCTCCATAGTGAACCAACAAGGCCTTGAGAACAAATTTAAATGTAAGAGATGTGATGCATATTATACAGGCGATACAACCTATTTACTAGCATGGGGGAGTATAAATACTCTACATCTGAAAAAACAACAGAAGAGGGCTATCTCGCGTAGCTGAGGGCTTTTCTTGTGTGCTAAAGCGACGAGGCTTGAGACGGTGGCTGGTTGTCTATTCACAAGATGAAAAATTCCCTTTGAAAATTGAAAAAGTGTCTCCCCCTTGGAATGCTTTCCTTGAAATTAGCGTAAGTTGACTACAGCTGTAACGAGATGGAAATGAGGAAGATGGAAAAAAAGACACAAAAAGCTTTTTCGTCACCTAATATGTGTCGAGAGAGGCGTCAGAGTTTGTCAAAGAAAGATGTAGAGCAGGCCATGAAGCATTTGTTTAATCAAGCGTTGCGGTAAGCGGAAAAATATTTGAGCCATCCTTTCCAAGGGCTTCGGCAATAGTATTACTGTTTTTACGATCTGATTATTTCTGGCGAGGAAGGAAGTGAATTCAAGGAAGGTTTCTGGAGGGTGGCAAAGGTGGGGTTCCAATCACAGCACGCTGAATTTTTCTATCGAATCACGCATCACGGGTAATTTTTTTTAACCAATCACGCGTCACGTAAAAAAGAAGTAGGTACACTAAGCTAACAAGATTTCAACCTATCGGATGTATCATTGAAAATTACATTGCATCCAACGGTTTTATCCTGGAATGAACTGCGTTTTACTTGTCAGGCTGCTTTTTGTTAGACAAATAAAAAATGATTTACTTGTAAACTAGACAATATAAAATATAAAATCACTATTTATAGAGGTAGCAACACCTACTGATATCTAGTTTTCTTATGGTGTTTTGAGAGGACTGAAGATTGAATGATTATTTGCCTGGTTGTGTAGCCTGTTCTATAGTGCGGGTCTGAAGTAACGTATTTTTGCCGTAAGTTAATGTGTTTCAAAAATCGATGTAAATTAAAATCTTTGTTATAAATAATAACTTGAACTATTTAAAATAGTTTAAGCTATTATTCGCACCTATTATCTACAACTCTCTATCCACAGCTGCAAAGGATGTTGACCTTCAGCTTGAAGGAAAACGAGTAACCAATCATTCTGTCAGGAAAACCTGTATTTTAAGGCTCCTCGCTCCAGATATTACGGAGAACTTTTTAGCCCAACTGCGTGGACACAAAATCACGGAGAGTCAGCGAGTTCGGAACACCTAAAGAGGATGTCCATGACCCTCAGTCGAGTTACTCGTTTTAAAACCGGTATGAAAAGATGAATGTCAAGTCGGCACTTGCTCGGCTGCAGAAATCGCCACCAGTACGCAGAAGATTCATTAGTTAACCATTCTAACAACCCCCTATTGTTTTACGCCGCTCTACTGCTTTTAGCAGATGCAAACATAGGATCTAGATCTCCTCTGGATGCACCTTCCAGACATTTCATGGCGATGTAAAAATCGATACGAATTAGAATTTTACTGTCCTGAGCCAAAATAAACAGAGTTGATCTCTCTCTCCTAGAGAGAGTCGAATTGAGTGCTTATTTTAAACTCTCCTCTGCATTTCAAGGATTCTATCGTCACAAATACACGCCAAGAAGGCGTAACCACAATAAGTGTGGCTTACCTTGTTTTAGCACCAAGCCTCAATTTGGGCATATTATGGTATTGTTTACACCCGTTCTCTACTTTTCTCTCGTTCCTCCCTTTTACTCTTTCAGTGGAAACAGTCTGAGAGAAGACGTTTCAGTTCTATTTTCCGATCCATAACCTTCTTATGCCCTTCTGTCGACTAAGGACTTGGCACTTATGAAAGACAAACAAAGGGAGGAAAAAAGACGAAAGGCTTAAGTTGTAACCACGCCTCGCCCCCGAATCTAACTTGTCACTTTCGCCTTTCACACAGGATACCCAAGACAGGACAGGTTACTTAACGAGACCCATGACGACGCCGCCTATATTTTTCGTATTATAATCAATCTATCGCAAAACAAAATGAATTGAAATTACTTATTTCGTCTTTGTTTCGCCGCCACATCTGTAACATTGTCATTTCAGTTTAGGCATGAGTCGCAGCAAAGTAAAGCTTTCATCAAAACGCTAACTTTTTTTTTCTCCTTTTATTCATTCAGAAACTACAAATGTTGATATATTGAGAATCAGAGTTGAGCTATTCATAATTAACGACCGGAGAAAACATTAATTTGATGATTTTTTGTACACAGTTCAAGTAAACGGAGGAAAAGGCTGAGCGGAAGGGTCCAGATCCTAAAGACGGTTGGTACACAATGAGTAAGTTTTATTTATGATCACAAGGACACGTCAGCATAGTGTAACACGGGAACAAGGTCTTTCAGGACGCCTATCGCATAACCAAATTCTTAAAATTTTCATCGAACTCTCGAAAAACTAAACAAATTGACATCGTGTTTCGAGTTCCTTCCTCATCAATCCTTCGAGAGAGTGTGAAACTTCAGCGATTCTATCAAATGCCGAGTGCTAGTCTAAGAATTCTTGAACATTAGGAAGTGAAGTTCTAGCTTCATCGAGATTCAGAGTAAAAAAAAAAAGAGACTATCCCGGAAGTAAAGTTGATCTCAATATCGTTTTCTATTTAACTCAAATAAATCTTAGAACTACATTTTATTTGCCAAAGAACGCGGTTGTTTTCGATATTCATTAATCCTGACGAGACGGCTTTAGTCGTGTATTCGCAAGTACATTAATCAAATTGTTGTCATGAGATTACTGTTGTCGAGAGATTATTTCGATTCATTTTAAATTATTCAGGGAGAGAAAGGTGAACCAGGCATGCATGGTGTGAATGTAAATGCTAGCATCAAGGTTGGTAAAATTTATATTTAAAAATATGATAATCTTTATACTGTCAAATGCAAAAAGTTAAGTGATTTTCTAGCTAATTTGAAGTTGAAGAAATCATGCTGAAAAAACTTATTACTATTTAGAAGGCACAAACTATGTTTATTGAAGAATACATCAATTTGGATGGACAAAACGCCAAATTGGCCGACCACTGCGATAGCGATGTGATAATCTGTACGAAAAGATTCTGAAGGTTGCAAGCCTAGGAAACGGTTCTAATATTTTAGGAGCCTTTTCAGCGAAATAAAGATCCGTTGAAGAAATTATGCTGAAGAAACTTATTACCATTTAGAGAACTTAGTTTTAATTTCTTTTATAAAATCGCACTACGAAGATTGCAGCAAAATCAAAGACGGCAATATCGAGCCATATACATGAGACACTAGCTAATTTTTTGCTCGTGGTATACTATTTCTGTTTAATCAATATTTTTTGGATTGCTTCTGCTTAAATTAAAGCTTTTAGGGAATTCTCGTTATGATTTACAAAAAGTGCTAAAAATGCCTTCCAAAACGTACGAATAATGAAATAAAAGCTAAAGACAGGAAACAGAATTGCCGTAAAGTTTCGAGTGGACATTTATACTTTGTTTTTATACTTTATACTTTACAGAAACGAAGAGATCAGGGGTGATATTTCCATTCAATTCAGATTTTTTGTGGATCCAAAAATGTTGATAATGGTTGGTACTACAACTGTAAGTAAGAAAACATCTTCGCAAAGTA